TATTAACCAAAAATAACAAACTTGAATAATAATAATATTAAGAAGAAGAGAACAATAACAATATCAACAACAACAATAATAATAATAAGATAAATAATAATAATAGTAACAAAAAAACAGAAAAACAACCAATATATGAAAAAACCTCTTCAAACATTAACAACAATTTTTCATAAATCGAAATAATATTCTTTATACAAATGAAATAATGGTAATAACAATAAAATAATAATAATAATAATAATAACGCAAATAATAATAGTAGTAATAAAATAATAATGCTTCCACTACTACTACCACTACCACTTCTATGGCTACTCTGCTGCTACTACTACTACTACTACCACCACTACCACTACAACATTATCTACTAGCACTACTATTACTACTACCACTACTATTACTACTACTACTACTACTACTACTACTACTACTACTACTACTACCACTACCACTACTACAACAAATAATAATATAAATAATAAATAATAAATATATTTAAAAAACACACAGCAAAAAGACACTGAATGCACTTGACACTTGCAGTTATAAAACCCTCTGATGAGAAAAATGATAAAACTAAAGATAATAATAATATCAAATAATAATAATAATTATTATTATTTTTTTATAATATAAATGATTAGAATAAAAACAATTGTTTAATTGTTGTCGATAATTACAATATATATATATATATATATAATATATATATATATATATATCTAAATATATATATTTTTACAATCAGGAAAAAGATAAACATTGATGTCGGTTGAAATGGAAGTTGGATTAAGATGACGTCATAGCGTGATTAAAAATGATAGTAACAAATGCTGATGACGACGACGAGGATGTGTGATGATGACGACGACGATGATGATGGGATGATGGGATTGATGATTAAGATGATGACGATGATGATGAGGAAGATGATGGGATTGATGATTAAGATGATGGCGATGATATTCCGATGTTACTCATCGACGCAACTAACGACGACGACGCCACTACGTTGTAGCTACCACAACCGCCACCACTTACAGTATTAATGATACTACCATCATTACTAATAAAGCCGTCAACAACGCACTCAGAAGCATTACAATTACTAAAATTAGTAGCCGTATTAGTAGTAGTCGTGATGGTAGTTGTAGCTGTTGTGGCAGTCGTAGTTGTAGTAGTAGTAATAGTTGAGACGACGGGTGTGGTAGTAGTGGTGGTCAGCGAGTCGGCCATCATTCTCTGCCTAACTTCCCTAATTTTCAACTGCAGAAGAGATTTCTTCGGGAAGATTTCCGAGTGTCTTGCCTGGAAAGCTGCCGTAGCTTGAGCTGCGTGTGATTGGTTGGTTGATTGGTTGACTGGTTAGTTGGTTGGTTAATTGACTGGTTGGTTGGTTGATTGGTTAGCAACAAAAACAACTAACAACTGGGAAACATATTTTGTTGTTCCTCAAAGAACTGGCAGACGAGTTGCCTCCTGATGTCCAGCATCATTCCGTGGGTGGCGGGAGATGCCGGGGTGCCCAACTGTTTGGGGGTTAAGAAACATCCGGCAGACACCTCCCCGCTCGTGGTGTTGTGCTGGTAGGATGCGTCCACTAGTGACGTGACGGTGATGTGATGAAGTGACGATGAGAAGAATGAAAGTGAGCTGGTTTGTGAGGATGATAAACCAACGAGTTGCAATTTCAACATTGACCGCTCCAACAAAAATGATTCCATTCATGTAAGGATTAACACTCCATTAAATAACTCGGGATTTATTCCATCATTCATTCATTCATTCCTTCATTTACTCATTTATTCATTAAATCATTCTGGGACCAACTTCCGCCCCCGGTCACACCCCCTCACTAACTTTTCTTCTCGAGATCGGCCACCCCTTCAAGACTGAAATCTTTCCCGAAGAAGTGACCATCGTCCGTGGTCAAGGTGGCAGGCACTTTGCAGCTGTTCAGCGCGCTTTTCGGGGTCTTAGGCGTACTGCAGGCCGAGCCATTGCGTGACCTCATTCCACGTGATTGGTCGTCGGAATCTAGGTTGTCTGTGATTGGTTGGTTGGTTGGTTACGTGAATAATAATTAACAACTGATTTGATAATTAACATCGTCTAACCGTTAAAAAGCCCCGAACATCACATAACTATCAAAAAGGTACCAAATACAAACTAACCATTAAAAGGTACCAAATGGCTCTTCCTCTTTCTCCTGTAACTGTTGACAATATCCCTTGGACTTTTTGGCAGAGGCGTCAGGGGCTCCTTGTGGTCGGGGTTGAACTGTGGCAGTTGATAGATCTTGTCGTGAAAGCTTCTGTTTGGGATGTTGTTTGAGTTGCTGGTATTTGTTGTATTTGTTGCTGCTGCTGCTGTAGTTGTTGGGACGACAGAAGAATTGTTAGAGGAGGAAGCGGTCTGGTCTTCAGTTTTGATGTTGTTGTTGTTAATAATTGTGCTGGCGTTAATGTTGTTGTTGTTGTTGGAGAGGACGTTGTTGTTGTTGTTTTTGTGAAGAGCAGAGTTGTTATTATCTTTTAGTAGATAGGACTTCTTCAATGCTACCCGCCTTGGACTAACGGATGTGTTCAACAGTGACGACGACGACGATGAAGACGTTGATGATGATAACAATAATGCTGATGACGATGCAGGTAATGGCAATGACGACGATGATGATCCTAACAACAATGGTGACGGTTGAAACAATTTCCTCAAAGTTATAGAAGATGATGACGACGACGATGATGATGACGACGACGATGACGGTGTCAGTAATGATAATGATGACAACGATGATGGAGAGAGAGATAGAATGTTTAAAGGGAGGGAGGAGAGCGGCGGAGGAACTGCTTTCAACTTACTGGACCTGCTAATGAAACTGGCGGATGAACTTTCCAAACTGCCTACCACCGATTCTATTTTTATCTCGGGAATGAGAGGAACTACTTTCCTCGCGTCTGATGGTAGCAGCGATGATGATGATGATGATAAAAATAATGATGATGCTGATGATGATGGGGTCGGTAATGATGATGATGATGATGTTAGGCCATTTGTTGCAAAACCCTTCTGCGAATCAGCAATAGGTGTAACCATATTAAATGACAATGATGATGATGGTGGTGGCAGTGATGATGATGATGATGGTGGTGGCAGTAGTAACGCTGATGATGATGATGACGATAATGATGACGCAATCAAAATGCTATTGCCCAGTGCTGTTGTTGATCCGATTTTAGTTGAGTGATTGTTGTTGTTGTTGTCGTTTGTGTTGCAGATGATGTTGCTGTAGTTGCTGTTATTTATGTTGTCAACATTGACGATGCTGTTGCTGAAGTTGCGGGTGCTAACAGCAGTGTTGCAATCTTGATTGAAATGTTTATAAACCAATTAAAAAGTTACCTCAATTAATGAATAAATGAGAAAATCCTTCTGAAATTAATGCAATAAAAATATTTGATAGAGAAATTGTAGAGGAACAACAACAACAACATCCACAACAACAACAAAAACAACAACAACATCTACATCAAAAGAAAACAACATCCTCAACAACAACATAAACAAACCCGGTTTAATAGCTTGATGCTGGTACTGTTGTTGTTGAGATGCTGTTGATGTTGCCGACTTAATCTGTTGCAGTAACAATTGTTGATCTTGAGGGGACAACAAAAATGTTGTCATTGGTGTTGATAGTGATGCTGCTGATGATGATGATGATAATGATAGTGATGACGTCAATAAATATTCATTCTTCATTATGGTACTAATTTTTTTATTCACAGATTTGTTGTTGTTGCTGGATGTTGATGAACTTTTGTTGCTTGTTGATGGCTGCGGTTGTTTTTGTTGAGGTAGTTGTTGCAGTTGTTGCAGGAGTTGTTGATTTTGTAACACCAAAAACGGAGATCCATTTATTAAAATATAAGGAGTTTGTTGTTGTTGTTGCTGCGGTTGAAGCTGCTGTTGTTGATGTAATTGTTGTTTTTGAAGCGATTGTTGTTTAGTTTGTTGCTGCTGTTGTAGTGCAACAAGTTGCAGTTGTTGTCGTTGTTGTTGTTCGTGTTGTAATTTCTGTTGTTGTTGCTGCTGCTGTTGTTGTTGTAAAGTGTTGATGACCGTCGGCGTGTTGGAGGACAGCTGTTCCATTCTAATGAAATGTTGCGAAGTAGCAGCATCTGTGCTGAGCAGCTTTGTTGAACTTTTTGCTGTGGTTGTTGCTGATGTTGTTGTTGTTGTTGTTGCTGCTGTAAGATGCGACGGAATGATGAACTGAAGTGGTGATTTTTGCTGGAAAGATGACGGGGAGGCAATGTAGCTTATCACATGCGGTGACAGATTGTTGCTGATGTTGTTGTTGTTGT